CCCACCAGTGGCTTGGGGGCGTTGGGACTCGTATGAATTACACCCGGAAGCAGCGCGCTGTTACAGACCACCCCCCCTTGGATGGGGAAACACCGTGGCCCAGCTCTAAGGATCACTTCCCGGTAGGGCAGCCTCCGAGGGGTGGGGCTTGGCTATTTAAAGGGCCCTCGCAGCTGGTTCCGGGCGTTTCTCCGCTGGGCGGCTTCTCCAGCAGCTGAAGGCACTGCAGCTCAGCCCTCTGGAGGCTCCCGCCTCCAAGCCAGCTGGCAGTGCTGAAATGAGACTGGGAAGGATCAGAGGGCCGGAGACTGGGGGGGAGTGGGAGTGGGTGCAGGGGGGACAGGTGCTGAGTTCGCCTCTGCCCCATGTGGCCTTAATTTCAACTTCCCCATCTGGGTGACTATGATCCCGCCCCTCCGCACCTGTCTGGGCTTCTGCAGCAGCCCACCCTGGAAGAGAAGATAACTTAGCGTTTTTTTTTTTTTTATTTTGGATTCAGAAAATTCAGTCCAGGTCTCCAAAGAGAGGTTTAACAGAAAGCACATACTAGGCACACACACGTTCTCTTTCTGGCAAGGGGCAGTGCTGGGAGCTTGGAAGGCTCTCCTCTCTCTTTCTCTCTCCTTTTGCCCAGTGTCCCAGCACCCTGGATTAGGGAAGGACCCTAGACGGCAAATGCTGTGCACCCTAAAGGCGGCGGCAGCACTCAGTATTTCCGCTGGCGGGGGAAGAGCGTGCTCCCTGAGGACCGGAGTGGGGGACTGGTGGGGCTGGGGTCCTCGGAGTCCAGGCTGAAGACGTCCCTGCCAGTACGAAGGATCTGCTCCTCCAGCTTCTTGTGTCGCTTCATGTCTGAGAGAACCTTGTCCAGGCGGGCCTCCCGTTTCTGGCTCCGAGCAGAGCTTCCTGGAGAAAAGGAAGGTAAGAAGTGTGGATTGGAGTGAGGTGCTGTGCATCAGACCTGCCTAGATGTTACTACTTGGGGACCTCATTAAACATACGGATTTCTAGGCCTCTGTCATGGAGGCCCTGAGGTTTGGGGCTGGACCTCAGATGAAGTAGAAAGTGAAGATCTGAACTATGAACTATGAGAAGGGGCCAGTAATATGAAGACCAGGGTAAAGACATCCAGGCAGGGGGACAAGCAAGTGCAAAGGCCCCAGGACAGGAATAGGGAGGTCTGTTCCAAGAAGAGTATAAAGAGCTGGGGGATAGCGGAGGTGGTGGACGGGATCAAATATGTAGTTAAAGAAATGACTTAGAGACCATGATGAGAGGTTTGGATCTCTTAGTTTAAATGGAAATAAATGTCTCTGGAAACCCTGGGGGCCTGGACAGTCAGGGGAAGTAGTGGTGTTTGGATTCTCTCTTGACATGCTATTTCCCCCAACAACGGAATCCTTTGGAGGGTTTTAAACAGAGAAGCATCATGATTTATATTTTGAAAGGATCATTCTGGTTGCGGAGAATGGAAGCAGGGAGACCAGTTAGGTGCCACCACAAATATCCAGGCAAAAGAGATGGCTTGGGGCGCCTAGGTGACTCAGTTGGTGGGCTTCCAACTTTTGATTTCGGCTCCAGTCGTGACCTTGGGGTCGTGAGATTGAGCCTCAAGTTGGGCTCTGTGCTGGGGGTGAAGTCTGCTTATGCTTAAGAGTCTCTGCCCTCTGCCTCCCCGCCCCACCCCCCAGTCAGGTGCACAGGTATGCCTTCCGTAAAAAATAAATAAGGGAATGAATAAATGAGAGAGAAATAATGGCTTGGATGAGGGTGTGGGGTTGAAGGTGGAGAGCAGCAGCTGAGCTTGGAAATGTGGAGGCAGAGCTAACAGGATTTGCTACTAGCTGGATGTTGGAATGAGAGAAAAAGAAATCAAGAATGGCTCCAGGGTAGATTCCAGGAAGGCAGTTGGGTCACACAATAATACGGGAATGAGGATCTAGATAATAAAGAATGACCAGAAAGACTTGAACTTCTAGGGGAGATGAAGATAAAAGAAATGGGAAGCCTGACGGAGTCACCTGTGCAAATCTCGGAAAGGAAGACAGGGTACCTATCCAAGCTGGTACGATGGCACCACTGGGGGAATGCTCTCTCCTACAGCTACAAGTTTCGTAGCACCCAAAGCACCAAACACAGGCCTCTTTTAGGGATTCACCTTTTAGTCAGTGGGAGTAGAGGTCCTTCACCTCCCCCTGCCTCTCCCCCATGTCTGTACCTGGGGTGCGTCTCCGGTCAATCAGGGAGTCCTTCGGTGTCATTGGCTCATCGTCAAAGTCAAATTCTGTAGGCATGTGCGGTCTGGGACAGGTGGACAGAAATTGAAGGGTGAGGGTGGTCTCCCCAAATATCCCAGCCTGCGGGTCTCCCCTCCCCATTCCATCCCTTCACTTTCCATGCTCCAGGGTTCCACCTCCCCTCCCAATTTATTTCTGGCACCAAGGGAGCGAGCCCAGGAACGGGGAGCAAGGGTGTGCCCTCACTTTTCCTCTTCCTCCTCTTTGGCCTCAGGCTCCTCATCGGATCTCTCCTCCTCACTCTGGGCCTCAGGGGTGGGTGGCCGACGGGGCAGGATTTCAGCCTGAAGCTCCAGGGTACCGTGGGCAGCCAGAAGTTCATAGAGCCGCTGGATTTCTGAGGGCGGAGGCATCCAGGCCTGCCCATCGGAGGGGAGCTCCACCTCCTCGTCGCTGCAGGGCACGCACCAGTCCTCCGATTCTCCCTTGGCATGCTCCTCCCCTTCAGCGCTGGGGGCTTCTCCCTGCATCTCCTCAGCCCCGGACCCCTCATGCTCCGTCTCCTCCCGGCCTCCTTCCCCCTCTTCCTCGGCTTTATTGGCCGAAGCAGAGGAGCCTCCAGTATCCTCCACGGCCAGAGCTTGGAGGCCAGAGGTCACTTCCCCTTCTTCAGACAGAGGCACCGCCATGGTGGTCGAAATGTCTCCATGACCACGAACAAGGGACATAGGCTACTAGGGGAGAGGCCCTGCGATGATAGGATATGCAGGAGGACAAGCTGGGGTGGGGGAGGTCTCCCGTCCCCCTCCCCCAAGGGATTGGGCTCCCCAGAAGTTCAGGGATTGTCTCCAACCAATCAGGCTCCAACGGCGGTCCCAGCAACGAGGCCGCGGGTTTCCAGGAGGTGGCGCTGAGCCCCCTCCAAGGACCCCGCCCCACGGATCCAGCTACGGCCCTCTGAGACTCCCAGGGACATGCGGAAACCACTTTCCGGGCCGGAGAGGGGCGGAGCCGCTCCTCTAGCCTTCACACTACCCCTCTCCACACCTGGATCGGGCGCCCTAGCCCCGCACCTCGCAGTTCAGCCGCCTCAGCCGCCGTACGCACCTGAAGCTAAGACCCGCCTCCCGCGCTGCGCAGGGTCACAGTACGCAAGCGCACAGAGATGGCGCGGAAGGCTCCGCTCTAGCCGAAGCTACTTGGAAAAAGGAAAGCGTGGGGAAGATTGCACATGCGCAGGTAGGCTCGGGCACAATTGGCTTCGGCCCACAGTAAAGATGGCCTCCGGGAGAGCGCATGCGCATACACCCGATAGATTCTGCCCGAAAGAGGGCAGTACCGCGGGACCCGGCGGCGGACAGATGTAAGGACCAACTGAGGCAGGAGGCGAGTCTCATGCAGTCTCCGTTTATTGGTGTTTCAGACTCATGCAGCATCCGGCATACAAAAAGGGATAATCTGTTTGATGTATCCTTTTTTTTTTTTAAAGACTTTTAGTTTTTTTTTCCCTCCCCACGCCTTTTTTTTTTTTCCTTTCTCTCTCTCTCTCTCTTTTTTTTTTTTTTTTTTTTTTTTTTTTTTTTTAA